TGACAGACTGACAGACTGACAGACTGACAGACTGACAGACTGACAGACTGACAGACTGACAGACTGACAGACTGACAGACTGACAGACTGACAGACTGACAGACTGACAGACTGACAGACGACAGACTGACAGGACTGACAGACTGACAGACTGACAGACTGACAGACTGACAGACTGACAGACTGACAGACTGACAGACTGACAGACTGACAGACTGACAGACTGACAGACTGACAGACTGACAGACTGACAGACTGACAGACTGACAGACTGACAGACTGACAGACTGACAGACTGACAGACTGACAGACTGACAGACTGACAGACTGACAGACTGACAGACTGACAGACTGACAGACTGACAGACTGACAGACTGACAGACTGACAGACTGACAGACTGACAGACTGACAGGACTGACAGACTGACAGACTGACAGACTGACAGACTGACAGACTGACAGACTGACAGACTGACAGACTGACAGACTGACAGACTGACAGACTGACAGACTGACAGACTGACAGACTGACAGACTGACAGACTGACAGACTGACAGACTGACAGACTGACAGACTGACAGACTGACAGACTGACAGACTGACAGACTGACAGACTGACAGACTGACAGACTGACAGACTGACAGACTGACAGACTGACAGACTGACAGACTGACAGACTGACAGACTGACAGACTGACAGACTGACAGACTGACAGACTGACAGACTGACAGACTGACAGACTGACAGACTGACAGACTGACAGACTGACAGGACTGACAGACTGACAGACTGACAGACTGACAGACTGACAGACTGACAGACTGACAGACTGACAGACTGACAGACTGACAGACTGACAGACTGACAGACTGACAGACTGACAGACTGACAGACTGACAGACTGACAGACTGACAGACTGACAGACTGACAGACTGACAGACTGACAGACTGACAGACTGACAGACTGACAGACTGACAGACTGACAGACTGACAGACTGACAGACTGACAGACTGACAGACTGACAGACTGACAGACTGACAGACTGACAGACTGACAGACTGACAGACTGACAGACTGACAGACTGACAGACTGACAGACTGACAGACTGACAGACTGACAGACTGACAGACTGACAGACTGACAGACTGACAGACTGACAGACTGACAGACTGACAGACTGACAGACTGACAGACTGACAGACTGACAGACTGACAGACTGACAGACTGACAGACTGACAGGACTGACAGACTGACAGACTGACAGACTGACAGACTGACAGACTGACAGACTGACAGACTGACAGACTGACAGACTGACAGACTGACAGACTGACAGACTGACAGACTGACAGACTGACAGACTGACAGACTGACAGGACTGACAGACTGACAGACTGACAGACTGACAGACTGACAGACTGACAGACTGACAGACTGACAGACTGACAGACTGACAGACTGACAGACTGACAGACTGACAGACTGACAGACTGACAGACTGACAGACTGACAGACTGACAGACTGACAGACTGACAGACTGACAGACTGACAGGACTGACAGACTGACAGACTGACAGACTGACAGACTGACAGACTGACAGACTGACAGACTGACAGACTGACAGACTGACAGACTGACAGACTGACAGACTGACAGACTGACAGACTGACAGACTGACAGACTGACAGACTGACAGACTGACAGACTGACAGACTGACAGGACTGACAGACTGACAGACTGACAGACTGACAGACTGACAGACTGACAGACTGACAGACTGACAGACTGACAGACTGACAGACTGACAGACTGACAGACTGACAGACTGACAGACTGACAGACTGACAGACTGACAGACTGACAGACTGACAGACTGACAGACTGACAGACTGACAGACTGACAGACTGACAGACTGACAGACTGACAGACTGACAGGACTGACAGACTGACAGACTGACAGACTGACAGACTGACAGACTGACAGACTGACAGACTGACAGACTGACAGACTGACAGACTGACAGACTGACAGACTGACAGACTGACAGACTGACAGACTGACAGACTGACAGACTGACAGACTGACAGACTGACAGACTGACAGACTGACAGACTGACAGACGACAGACTGACAGACTGACAGACTGACAGACTGACAGACTGACAGACTGACAGACTGACAGACTGACAGACTGACAGACTGACAGACTGACAGACTGACAGACTGACAGACTGACAGACTGACAGACTGACAGACTGACAGACTGACAGGACTGACAGACTGACAGACTGACAGACTGACAGACTGACAGACTGACAGACTGACAGACTGACAGACTGACAGACTGACAGACTGACAGACTGACAGACTGACAGACTGACAGACTGACAGACTGACAGACTGACAGACTGACAGACTGACAGACTGACAGACTGACAGACTGACAGACTGACAGACTGACAGACTGACAGACTGACAGACTGACAGACTGACAGACTGACAGACTGACAGACTGACAGACTGACAGACTGACAGACTGACAGACTGACAGACTGACAGACTGACAGACTGACAGACTGACAGACTGACAGACTGACAGACTGACAGACTGACAGACTGACAGACTGACAGACTGACAGACTGACAGACTGACAGACTGACAGACTGACAGACTGACAGACTGACAGACTGACAGACTGACAGACTGACAGACTGACAGACTGACAGACTGACAGACTGACAGACTGACAGACTGACAGACTGACAGACTGACAGACTGACAGACTGACAGACTGACAGACTGACAGACTGACAGACTGACAGACTGACAGACTGACAGACTGACAGACTGACAGACTGACAGACTGACAGACTGACAGACTGACAGACTGACAGACTGACAGACTGACAGACTGACAGACTGACAGACTGACAGACTGACAGACTGACAGACTGACAGACTGACAGACTGACAGACTGACAGACTGACAGACTGACAGACTGACAGACTGACAGACTGACAGACTGACAGACTGACAGACTGACAGACTGACAGACTGACAGACTGACAGACTGACAGACTGACAGACTGACAGACTGACAGACTGACAGACTGACAGACTGACAGGACTGACAGACTGACAGACTGACAGACTGACAGACTGACAGACTGACAGACTGACAGACTGACAGACTGACAGACTGACAGACTGACAGACTGACAGACTGACAGACTGACAGACTGACAGACTGACAGACTGACAGACTGACAGACTGACAGACTGACAGACTGACAGACTGACAGACTGACAGACTGACAGACTGACAGACTGACAGACTGACAGACTGACAGACTGACAGACTGACAGACTGACAGACTGACAGACTGACAGACTGACAGACTGACAGACTGACAGACTGACAGACTGACAGACTGACAGACTGACAGACTGACAGACTGACAGACTGACAGACTGACAGACTGACAGACTGACAGACTGACAGACTGACAGACTGACAGACTGACAGGACTGACAGACTGACAGACTGACAGACTGACAGACTGACAGACTGACAGACTGACAGACTGACAGACTGACAGACTGACAGACTGACAGACTGACAGACTGACAGACTGACAGACTGACAGACTGACAGACTGACAGACTGACAGACTGACAGACTGACAGACTGACAGACTGACAGACTGACAGACTGACAGACTGACAGACTGACAGACTGACAGACTGACAGACTGACAGACTGACAGACTGACAGACTGACAGACTGACAGACTGACAGACTGACAGACTGACAGACTGACAGACTGACAGACTGACAGACTGACAGACTGACAGACTGACAGACTGACAGACTGACAGACTGACAGACTGACAGACTGACAGACTGACAGACTGACAGACTGACAGACTGACAGACTGACAGACTGACAGACTGACAGACTGACAGACTGACAGACTGACAGACTGACAGACTGACAGACTGACAGACTGACAGACTGACAGACTGACAGACTGACAGACTGACAGACTGACAGACTGACAGACTGACAGACTGACAGACTGACAGACTGACAGACTGACAGACTGACAGACTGACAGACTGACAGACTGACAGACTGACAGACTGACAGACTGACAGACTGACAGACTGACAGACTGACAGACTGACAGACTGACAGACTGACAGACTGACAGACTGACAGACTGACAGACTGACAGACTGACAGACTGACAGACTGACAGACTGACAGACTGACAGACTGACAGACTGACAGACTGACAGACTGACAGACTGACAGACTGACAGACTGACAGACTGACAGACTGACAGACTGACAGACTGACAGACTGACAGACTGACAGACTGACAGACTGACAGACTGACAGACTGACAGACTGACAGACTGACAGACTGACAGACTGACAGACTGACAGATGAAACTGACAGATACTCGAAACTATAAAAGAAAGAAAATTGGGATCTCAGATTTAGATTCCGTAGTCTTGTACGCAGCGCAAATTTTTTACGCGAATATGCCACGCCCCCTCTAACGCCCACAAACCGCCCAAACCTGTGGCGCCAACAATTTTTATGCTAGATAAAAAATGTTAGCTGAAATATATTGGTCTTGTCAATACCTACCGATTGATCCACAAAATTTTGCCACACCCACTTTAACGCGCAGAACGCTTAAATCGGTCTACCGCCGATAGGTGGCGCATTTCAAAGTCGCTTTGCTGCGTGCATATCACCATTTCCCTTTGGTCCCTTTAGCTGAGTAACGGGTATCTGATAGTCGATGTACTCGACTATAGCGTTCTTTCTTGTTTTTTTTAAGTTGGTTAGCTTAGTAATGGGTGTCTGATAGTCTGGGCCCTCAAGTAAACCATTCCGTTTGTTAGGGCTACATTGTTAATATATATGATGGGCATTGATTGTAATTTAATTATATTATCTTAGCAGGTCAGACAATAGTTAACGAAATGATTACCATTGCGAGCTGTATACTTGTGGTAAGTCAACTCCTTAAGCCCATAAATACTTTTCACAAAGCTGTTTATTTTATTGGACCTAATAACAGATGCCTCTAACCATGATTTTTGTGGCAGTGACGATAGACGCCCACGTTCAAGTCCAGGCAAATGACGATCATGTGTACTCCAACGTTAAACCGGAGTTCATTCGATATGCGGTAGAAAGCATTCCTTGGGATAATGACACCTGGCCCATAGTCCGTATTAATGCGCGACCCGTGTTTGGAGACGAATTTTTACCACTGCGCAGCGCCGTAGAGAGTGTTCCTACAGTAAAAGAAAGAAACGTGGCTAAGCTAAGGGACTCTCCTAGTACGCGATCTTTTGTGCGCGATTCCGTAGAGTCAGTGCCAATAGGCGAACAGAAACTCTCCAGCTTTGGGAGCTTTATTAAGAATTTCGACCTAGGTGCGAAGATTAACAGTGGCAAGCTAACCCATGGGTTACATCCTGATCCTTGGCCAGTTTCCGACAAATACACAGCTTTCATTACTCAAGAAAACTCAGACGACTTTTATTCGCAGCCATACCGTGCCGGTTCACCTCATCAGAAATTGCTTAAAACCGTAAATATCGAACCGATGGATCAAAATGATACAGAGCATCAGTCGAACGGCACATTAGAGCAAGTTGGTTTGCTTAATCAGCAGTGGTATGGAACTCTAGCGCCATTAAAAAGGAAGTACTTTAAAAAGGCATCCAAAGTTCTTTGTTACATGTCAAACTGGGGATTTTACCGAAAGGAAGGTGGTCATTTTATGCCGGAGCAGATAGACTCTAAGCTCTGCTCTGTTATTATTTATTCGTTCGCTTCCCTGGATCCCGACCTCCTTACCATTCGAGAGTTTGATCCCTGGGTTGACTTAGATAACCAATACTACCGTCGGGTGACATCGCTGGGAGTGCCCGTATTAATTGCTTTGGGTGGCTGGACAGACTCTACTGGCTCCAAGTACTCACGCTTGGCCAGCGACAACATCAAGCGGCAGGTTTTCGCATCCAGTGCGGCCAACTTCCTACAACGTCACGGATTTAGCGGCCTGCACTTGGACTGGAACTACCCGAAGTGCTGGCAGAGCGACTGCTCTAAGGGACCTGTAAGCGACAGGCCCAACTTGACTAAGCTTCTCCGAGAGCTGCGTACAGAGTTTCAGCGTGTTAACCCGAAGTTTCAAGTGGGAGTGGCAATCTCCGGCTATAAGGAGGTTATAACGGAGGCCTACGAACTTTCAGCTTTGTCAGACATAGTGGACTACATGACAGTAATGACGTACGACTACCATGGTGCCTGGGAGCGGCAAACAGGTCATGTGAGTCCGCTTTACGGCTCATCATCGGACAAGTATCCCCAGTACAATACTGACTATACCATGCAACTATTGTTAAAAATGGGCGCAAAAAGGGATAAACTAGTTTTGAGCATTCCATTTTATGGCCAAAGTTTCACATTAGAAAGGAATCACCTCCAGCTGGTTGCAACAGGCATTTCGGCCATTGGACCTGGGAAACCCGGAGAATTTACAAACCAGCCGGGAATGCTAGCTTACTACGAGATATGCAAACGCATAACGAAGTCTAAGTGGTGGAGTGATCGGGATGCAGGCCTGAGTTCCGGTCCGTATGCCATGCTGAACGACCAGTGGGTGGGATATGAGGATCCGACAAGTGTCCAAGCCAAAGCTCAATATGCGGCCAATAACAACTTTTCAGGGGTGGCAGCTTGGACTGTTGATCTTGACGATTTTCAAAATGACTGTTGCAGCGAGTCTTACCCCCTTCTTCGGGCTATTAACCGGGAATTGGGACGCTTAGATTTAAAACCGCCTACTCAAACGAACTGTGAGCGTCCGACGTCAGTGGGGCCCATGGCCCCTCAAATGACAACGATCAATAGCGATGGCTCTGCGGGATCGGGACAGAATCACGATCATACTACTTCGTGGCCAATTTGGGAGGCCAGCACTAGCCCCACCTTTAGCACTACGAGAAAGCTAAAACCTGCAAGTACGACTAAAAAAGCAAAGGTAACAACCACTGCCAGCAGCTCTGTCTCCTGGTGGATTTCGACAACAGGACGTCCAAACAAGCCGACGAGGACAACGTCCAGATCGACTAACACTACGATCCCCGTGCCTGTAGTGATGTACCCGGTGGTGCAGGCCTCGAACTGTAAGAGCGGCGAGTTTTACGCTGATTTAATGAATTGCAACGCTTATTATCTCTGTATTATTGATGGGGAGTTGCTGCAGCAATTCTGTCCCGGCGGTCTTCAATGGAACAACGAAGCCAAAGGATGCGACTGGCCGTCCTATGCTCAGTGCTCAGTAAAGCGGGACCAGAAGAGCAGCACTATCCGCCCTAAGCCTGCTCCTACGTCTGAGTCGCCAAGGAACACAACATATTTACAACCTAGTAGGAAAACTACAGAGCCTTCCGTACATCAGCACGTCAGTAGCCCCAATTGCAACGAGGGAGAATACTACACGCACAGAAATTGCGCAAAATATTACATCTGCGTTAATGGAGCCTTAGTACCAAGTGAATGTGGCGGAGAATTGCACTGGGACGCAATTAGTAAAATCTGCGACTGGCCAGAGAAAGTACAGTGTGTTACAAGTATAAAATATTTGAAAGCCATTCATGCGAGTCGCGCCACCGAGGAGGATCCGTGTAACGGCGAAGAGCGAGTACCTTATCCTTCTAATTGTTCCAAATATCTGTTCTGCTTATGGAACCGCCTTCAGGCCGGTGACTGTCCACCGGGATTGCACTATAGTGAGGCAATCACAAAATGCGACTGGCCAGCAGCAGCGAAATGCATTCAGGACTCTGGTAATGGCACCGAAGGAGCAGTATCGAGTGGTAGTACAAAGCCTCCGGCGCTAGATAATCCAGCACCCACTTCCCAAAAGCCTAACACTATTCCCAGTCCAACCTACACCACTGGAAACCCAGAACTCACTCCCCTTGACGGCTACTATAAAATCGTCTGCTACTTCACCAACTGGGCCTGGTACCGCAAGGGCCTAGGTCGCTATACTCCTGACGACATTAACACGAAACTGTGCACTCACGTAGTTTATGGGTTCGCGGTGCTGGACTACTCCGAACTTATTCTGCGCACGCACGATTCCTGGGCTGACATTGAAAACAACTTCTACACGAGGGTCAGCAGTCTCAAAAACAAAGGCATTAAGGTGAGCTTGGCGCTCGGTGGCTGGAACGATTCGCAAGGCGACAAGTACAGTCGCCTTGTAAGAAGTCCGTCCTCACGGGCTCGCTTCATTCGCCATGCCGTCGAGTTCATTAAAAAATATGGCTTTGAGGGTCTTGACCTAGACTGGGAGTACCCAGTTTGCTGGCAAACGGAGTGCGATAAGGGGTTTAAAGAGGAAAAAGAGGGGTTTACCGCTTGGGTTCGGGAGCTCTCTGCTGCGTTTAAGCCTCAAGGACTTTTGTTGTCTACCGCAGTCTCACCTAGCAAAAAAATCATTGACGCAGGGTATGACGTTCCCCAGCTATCTCACTTATTCGATTGGATCGCTGTGATGACATACGATTTCCACGGACAATGGGACAAAAAAACTGGACATGTGGCACCTTTGTACCATCATCCCGGTAATAAATTTGAATATTTCAACGCAGTGAGTATATTCAACGGGACTTTAAAATGCTATGTGTAATTAATTCTTGGGTCTTGCAGAACTTTTCTCTGAGCTATTGGATCGAAAAGGGAGCCCCATCTCGCAAAATCGTAATGGGAATACCGCTTTACGGCCAATCCTTCACACTAGAAAGTGCAAACAATAGTTGCTTAAATGCCAAGGCCTCCGGGCCAGGCCAAGCTGGTGAATTCACAAGAGCCTCTGGATTCCTTGCTTACTATGAGGTAAAGAACATTATAGTTATACAATAGTTGATTACATTAGTTTATGATGATAGTTTCGGGTAGAGTTGCATTCTTAGATCATGAAAAAATGTTTAAATAAGCAACAGACGCCTTAAAGTCACTAAATTGTTTAAACAAACTATAAGAGCTAGGCTATTGGGATTTGGCACGCAGGTTCCTGAGCTTATTGCGCAGCGCAAATTTGTTTCAGCAGCGTGCAACGCCCACTTTACCGCCCACAAACTTAAAAAATCGTAAATATGATCGCGGATGTTTTGGAAACTATCAATGATAGAGAATTGAGATTTCAGATATCGATTCCCTAGCTTTGTACGCAGCGCAAGTTTGTAACGCGAATATGCCACGCCCACTCTTACGCCCACAAACCGCCTAAAACCTGTGGCGAAATGTATTGATCTCGTCAATACCTATCGATTGATCCAAAACAAAGATTGCCACGCCAACTCTAACGCCCACAAACTGCCGAAAACTGTTGCACCCACAATTTTCATGCTAGAAAACATTTTTAACTGAAATGTATTAGTCTCGCCAATACCAAAAAAAAGTTTGCCACACCCACTCTAACGCCCATAACGCTTAAATCTGTCTACCGCCCACATAACTATATATTGAGATCGCGGGTAGGTGGCGCATTTCAATCTCGTATTGCCGCTTTCATATCCTCATGTCCTTTTTGTCCCTTTAGCTGAGTAACGGGTATTTGATAGTCGAGGTACTCAACTAGCGTTCTTCCTTGTTTGCCTTTTTTTTCGTGACCTTATGGTCCAACTCTACCAGGAACTAACATTATCCTTCTTGAGGCAGTTTTAAAATATTATTTTGTAAACTTTTATTATTATACCCGTTACTCTTAAAGTTTAATGGAAAACTAGATTCGTCGGAAAATATGTTACAGGTAGAAGGAAGCGTTTCCGACCCCATAAAGTAAATGAAAATTCCGTGAGGTTTTTCACGGAAAAGAAAATTATACAAAGTAGGACTTGTGGTCTAGCGGCCTAGCTGGGGATTTTCCGTCGCACAAAAAAAGAGGCAGCAGTCATATTCAATATATATTTATTGCGCTGGCGCAGCCAGCAACGACAAGAGATTATGCACGACTGCCTCACATCAGCAGTGCCAAATTCTTATGAGTTTACAATTCTCCATGCTTATCAATATAAGAGTATACTACTTTACAAGCTAGGCTTCGAGTACAAAAGTTCGTATATGAGTATGTGACTTCTAATATAACTTTAATTTACATTACTTCAGTGTATCTACTTCAATTTATATACTTCATTTTTATTCTCTTTACTCATATTTAATTATTATTTTAAATTAAGGATCGACTGCTCCAACATTCCGGCCCCGTTGAAGGCTTTCGGCACTTTAACACTCCTGTTGCTTTGGCTGCTAATTGGCAGCAACGCCAGTTTGTAAATTGCTCGCTTTTGTTTTCATTTCGGCCACCCTCACTCGTTTTTCTTCGCCGAGTGATGTCGCCACGTCGCGTCCTCTCAACCACCGTTGCGGGGGCAAATTGTCCTCATGTACGAGTGCTACTTGAGTGCAGACAGCATTCGCCACCGCTACAAATATCCGACGCTGGCCTTTCTGTATATCATGTCTGTGTTCTTCTTGCGGCAGCGTAAAATCTGGCCGATCAAAAGGTGCCCTGGAGTTAGTGCCTCTCCATCGTTGGGGTCGTTGCCAGGCGACACGATTGGAAGAGAGTTGAGCAGCGCCTCGACTTCGACCATATGTGTGCTCAGTTCGTCTGCTATAAGTCTGGAGTCCTCGGAGCAACCGATGCTTGGCTGCCTTGACGGCTGCCTCCCAGTAGAAAGATCGACAGCGAGTTCCAGGTATTAACGGAAATTTGGCGTCATTCAACCATTTACTTCCAACTCGAATTAATCGAGTCGGATTAATCGGTGGTGTTGGAAGCAATGACATATGACCAAGGGTAAGATACTCTTTCATGAATTCTTGATACGTTTGCGCTCCAACGCAAGAAATCTGCGCTTTGCTGTTTCGAAGGACAGTCCTAGCACATTTGGATTTCTTTTAAATGGTAGCTTCACCTCAAACCGACCCGAGGCAAGTCTTTTTACTGTTTCCTTGAAGTGTTGTTCACAGGCAACTTGTTCAGCTGTATAGATAGCCTTCGAGCTCTCTGTGACTTGTTCCAAATTCCAAAACCGTTCAACTAATGAGTCGAAAGAACTGATATTATCGGTAACAGTGACGCTCAGGTGTGTAGCACTATTCAATGCTTGCTGAGTATACTTCCCAGAAACAATATACACTAATGAAGTTTTCTGAATTGATGAGTGGTGGGAACCTAACTTTATTTGGCCTACGCTGAAAAGTTCAAAAAATATTTCTGCGCCAATTAGCAGCTCCACCCTTGCAGGTTTATAAAATCGAGGGTATGCCAGCTCAATGTTTGTTGGTATACTCCATTGCGCACAGTTCACCTCATGGACTGGCATCGCCGACTCCTCGAAGCAAACGATGCTTGGCTGCCTTGACGGCTGCCTCCCAGTAGAAAGATCGACAGCGAGTTCCAGGTGAACAGCCTTTGACGAAAAACACACGAAGACGGCCACATAGGTCTTGATTGGAGGTTTCCCTCGGAGTTTTAAAGAGACACAAAACGGACCACAAAAATCAACCCCACAAATCAAGAAAGGCCTAGCTTGTCTAACCCGATCGACTGGAAAATTGCCCATTATTTGGCCAAGAAGTTCAGGCTTATAACGAAAACAGTGGATGCAGTCTCGAACAATTTTCGTGCACGCCTTGATTGAGCATTGATCAGCCAAATCTGCTGTCTCAAAAGAGAGACTATCACCTTGGCGCCTGCATGATAATGCCTGTGGTGTAAATTGCGAAGGAACAGCTTAAAAAATTGAAATTTTTGAGAGAACATTAACGGAAATATGGCGTCATTCAACAATTTACTTCCAACTCGAATTAATCGAGTCGGATTAATCGGTGGTGTTGGAAGCAATGACATGTGACCAAGGGTAAGATACTCTTTCATGAATTCTTGATATGTTTGCGCTCCAACGCAAGAAATCTGTGCTTTGCTGTTTCGAAGGACAGTCCTAGCACATTGTGAGGAATTGAATAACTCCCCACAAATAGAACCAGCAGCAGATGGCCGGCCGCTTACCAGATACGCGGCGAATTCGCGTAGTAACGGCGCGGCGAGGAGAACGAGAGAGTTTGCAGACCAAGGGTGGAGATCGAGAGAGTTTGGAGACCAACGAAGGAGAGCGAGAGAGTTTGGAGACCAATGAAGGAGAGCGAGAGAGATTGGAGACCAAGGATGGAGATCGAGAGAGAATGGAGACTTCGTGGGCAGAGCAAGAGTGCCGTATGCAAAAGGGGATAACGGAACTCCACCGGACTTTGGACTCTCCCGTGAACTTTGGACCGGGAGAGGAAGTGCCACATCTCGGCAGTGGAGCGGCACACAGGCGTGCCACAAGCGGCCCGGGAATCAGCGGGACTGCAGCAGTGGGCGGAGCATCGATTGAAAGCGGCACGTGAAGGAGAAGTGGGTCATCCAGGAGGCACGGACTTTGGACCCAGAGTGGAGAGATCCAGCGGGCCGTGCGCAAAAGGGAAATAACGGTGCTTGGAGGCCCTATATAAGGCCGCAGAGCGCTGGCAGCTGGATCAGTCGATCACGAGGAGTCAAACCTTCAAGATCAATTAAAGTACCAAATAAACAGTCAGTCAAGCAAATAATCTACGAGGGAGCTACAACCAAGCGAGTCGTCGGAAGCAGCGCCGTGGGAAGCATACAAGGAGCAAGATCGCCACGTCGAGACGTTCGGGATTAGGACATCAGGAATCTCCGAATTGAGACACAGGTGGCTGAGTTCTGAAAGGCATCACGCGGCTAAGTCAAGGCGTTTGTTTTCTAAGTTTGTCACGACCACACCCTGGCGAGTCGCCCGGCGGGTCTGTCAGAGACAAGCAAAAGAGTCCTACGACGAAGAGCCGTCAGCTTGGGGAGGAAAGTTGTCTGTCTTGACTGTCAGCGCGAACTGAGCAACTGAGGACCGTCCGGGACAGAGCAAGGGACAGGTATTGCCTCGAAAGGCGTCAGCCTGGAGAGCAAGGCTTGTTCACCCTAGTCTGAGAACGGTGACGCTTCCCTAAGCCCACAAGGCCGAACTCTCTGCGGGTCTAAGGCGCAACAAGCGACCCCGAGGCAACGCGTCGGCAAGCAAGCAGAGGCGGCCACTACGAGCGTCCCGAGACCCAGGATCCAGAGGAGGACGAGTCAACGCGTCGAGGAGCCAGAAAGAGGAGCGCCAGCAGCCGGCGGAACCAGAGCCAAGAGATACCGAAGCCAGCCCAGCCACACACCCGCTGTACTAATACCACGAGAATAAATCCCACTGTTACCATTTGAACACTTTGTTTTCTCACTGATCTACGGGCAATCACGTCATATAAATTTGGTGGGACGAACGCACAATCTTCTGAGCTAGAAGCACGAATCTCGTAGCGAGCAGACACACAAAATCAGTTCGTTACATCTGGCGCCCAACGTGATTGTCGCAACAGTAAGAACAGCACAGTAAAAATGGGAAAGAAGTGGATTTACCGCCTCAAGAAGGAAGACTTCGCCCATGTCGCACAGAGGCTCAACGTCGCCCTGGAGGGCAGGCTAGACGACATGAGGAAGGCACTATCGGAATACTACTCCGAAACAGAGAACGATCCACAACTCGTCGACATCTGGGCCGAGCTGGAGGCGACATACTACGACAGAGCCGGCCCAAGCATTACGTTAACGAACGCTGAAGGGGACAACCTGGTGGCAAGCCTGAGCGTTGACAACATGCAGAAAGAGGCCCACAGGAGAGAATCAAGCGCACCGTCTGCGGAACACGTAGGAAGCCGAAGGACAGTTGCACGGTTGGCAGCCCGATACTACTGGCCAGGCATGCATAGAGACGCCCGAGCCCACGTAC